GATGGCTGATTAACAACGCCTCTGGAGTGGTTGGTTGAACGCTTCAGAATTTGCGGTTTTTTCCCACAGGAGTGTCATTATTCGCAGCTGAACAACGGTGCGCCACCTTTGCCACTGGGGCCATAGAACTCCTTGACAGAAACGAAAAAGTATCTTCATGGCATTACTGTCGGCTTTGCGATTCATCCACGCTTTGTGCATCTCCTTCAGCCATTTCTGCACCAGGCGGCGAAATCTAAAGAAGGCCGCTTTGTTTGCCTGGGTCCGGCAGTTAATGTAGGCTTTGTGCGGCCTATTCTTGTAGGCATGTTGGTTCTTGCTTTTTGTGTCGTCATCAAACCAGGTATTGATGACATGCGGGATTAAGCATGTCAACGGAGGTGCGTTGGATGGCTTCTCGTATTTAACACCGCTGTATTTTCATACTGGCATCATCCGGGGCCTGCAGGTGTTCGAGGCGCTGGGCCAGTTGATTGCTAAAACCTTAGCGGTGAGCAGATACATTCAACATAACCGTGTTCATTTTATGTGCTGGTCGCTTACCTTGTAGTCGCCTGCAATGTTACAGTCGGTCCCTTTAGCTATCCGCGTCGCTGATCGCCTTGCTCATCGGTAAGTCTTGTCGATCTCGCCTCCGGTGCCAACAACGCGATCAGAGGTGCGACCTTAGCGTAGGCCTTAGTGGAGATGGCGAACTAGGTTCGTTGATGCCCTACGGCAGACATGGAAGTCGTCCCACGACATCGTTCTTGATGGAAAAGGCAACCGCAGTGTCGCATCGCTCTGGCGTTGGATGACCGTTTCAGGGGGTTTAGCCGCCACCCACCCCTGGTTGGCGCTGTTCGGGGAATTCTTGATCTCTGAGGGCAGCAACCTTCACCTTGTGACGCGCCAATTATCGTGCGATTAGTGCTGTTCTCTTTTCCGGTCGGCTTCGATGCGAATTTTCTACGAACATTCGAGACTGCCAAGGTAAGCAGAGTGTCTGACATTCTGTGGGCTGGGACGGAGCGGATGGAGACTGTTTTCGTGCGATTGTTTCGACTGCGAGTTTTACACCCGAAAGACACGCTCGGTGTGCGGATTACGTGGTTCCAGCATTTGTTTAGGGTGCCTTTTCTACTCCCTCCCCTTGCGAGGGGGTAAACAGAGCTATCCGCAAATATGACCGCTCAGACACCCCGAGCGGCTGCTAAGCTCTATTAAGGGTCAGATCCTGGTTTAGTGGAGTAGTGGCCCGCGGTAGCATGGGCCGCCTACAGGCTTACTACTCGCCCTCTGCACAGGACGTTTTTGGTTCTCATCCCTTATACCCCCTCCTCGCCGGCAGGAACGGGAACAAGAACCGTCCGTTATATACAGTAGGCGGCTTGGTGCCAAATTCCAGAGCATTTAGGATTAAGGTTGAAGTAAGAGTCGAGGTAATGTTAGGATTACGGGTACCGTCAAGGTTAAAGCTAAAGTTGTAGTCAAGGTTTGATTAGGAGGGCTGTTTGCCGCTTACTTGCGGATGTCAGCCAAGTAGACACCAAGAGGAAACGTCCGTTCTGTAAACGCGGGTCCTTTGGGGCTGCCTTTTCCCGAAAGCAACCAATAAATATTGATAGATAGATAGAGAACTTTATTTTGATGATAATATCAAAATTTTCAGCAAAAAGTGGCTCAATGCACGGAGAGCAAAAAATAAGGTAAATTAAGGGGTCCAAAAGCTCAAGAGTAAACGGTCAAAGATCGCAAAATACTCAAAGTAAGAAATCGACAT